ACATCGTCCAGTGAGGAGCTATGAGCCACTTGAAACGTCCCAAATAGCGTGTTCCTTTTCTTCTTTATCTTCTCTGCCTTTGAAGTGAGGAGACAAAGGTCAGACACCAAAAGTCTAAATAAACGTCAGCCTTCACATAAGAATAGGAGGAGACCATTTAGCCTATTCTGCCATTCTATGGCTGATCTGCATGATCTGTATCTCAACTCCTGTTAGTCTGGGTCCAGTTCTTCCTCCTCCTGGCCCTTCCCACCAGGCTGCAGGCCCCCCAGCCCCAAGTTCCCCCATCCCCAACTTCCAGCCCCCCAAATCCCCACCCCAAACCCCCCCATCCCCACCCCAGCCTCCAGTGACCGAGGTCAGTCTGTACTGGTTCTCTCACCCCCTCCTTGGCGACATTGAGCTGTCTCTCGGCGCTCTGCTTTTTGATGTTGTAGTACTGAACCTCCACTTCGTGTGTCAGCTGCAGCCACTTCTGCAGAGTATCCGGTGGGGACCATGTCCCACGGGACTCCAACTCCTTCTCAGCTTTCTTCAGGGCCATGCGGACCTGAGAGAGAACATCCAACGCAATATGTGTCATTATAGCACTGACCCCGGCAAAGGAGAGGGCCAGGGCCAGAGAGAGAGGGGAAGAGGGAGAGGACTGGGAAGAGGGAGAGAGCATCAGGGAGAGAGAAAGGGCTATGGAGAGGGCCAGGGCCAGGGAGAGGGCCAGGGCCAGGGAGAGAGAGAGAGAGAGAGAGAGGGTCAGGGAGAGAGAGAGAGGGCTAGGGAGAGAGAGGGGGAGAGGGAGAGGACTGGGGAGAGGGAGAGAGGGTCAGGGAGAAGGCCAGGGAGAGGGAGAGGTCAGGGAGAGAGAGTGAGCCAGGGATAGGGAGATAGAGAGGCCAGCCAGAACATCAGCCTGGCCAAGGGGGGCAGTGGATATAAAGAGAGAGATTGACAATGCACACACACTTTTTTTTCTTCCCCGCTATAGGTTTCTCTATGCCTCACTCACACACACCCCTATACTGCTGTTCACAGCCTTCGGGGCAATGAGAGCAGCACAGCATTGTCAGGAAGATGAGAGAGCACAAACACACACACAGCAGCACATTAGAACTGAAGTGAATTCACTTCTAGTGATTCTCCAGCTCCCGCCTTGGGATATCCTCCCAATGTGAAACCTGCTTCAGAAATGCCACGTTCCTGTTGTTGTTTCCCCTGCCTCGGGCGCTGCTCCCGTTTGTGTCCTGAAACTTGTTGTTGCCAATCAACAGACAGCACTTGTCTTAAGTGAAGTCCTCCGTCTCTGTGACTAGGGCTCCCTCTGCTCCTGGACCTCAACGGGCTTCGATAGTCAATCCCACCATCCTCCTCCACCGCCTCTCGTCCCTCCTCCACCTCAGTGGTACTGCACTCGCATGGTTTGTGTGCTATTTAACCAACCGCTGTTGCCTGGTCTCCGCAAATAGCTTTTCCTCTCGCCCCCGCCAGATCACCTGTGGATTACCCCATGACTCCATCCTTGGGGCCCCTCCTTTTCCTCATTTACATGCTCGCTCTCTGTCACATGATCTGTAGATATGGGGTCAACTTCCACACATATGTGGATGACACACAAATCTCCAATTATAACTCCGGGTCCGCTGATGTTCTGTCCACTTGCCTCTCAGACATCAGGGCCTGGATGAGCGGCAACTTTCTGCCGTTGACTTGACAAGACGGAAGACAGAATGTTGGTTCCTGCCAACATCTTCTCACCTGTGGCTCTGAGCTCTTCAGACACCCCGGCCTATCCCTCAGACTTACTGAACCTGTACATAACCTGGGCGTCATGTTCGACCCACAGCTGTCCTTCCCACTCCACACCCGGTTCCTAACCACCTTCCTCCACCTCTGCCACATCGCCCAATACTGTACACATCACACTAAACTCCGTACCCCCATCACCCCAGTCCTCGCCTTGAGGAAATGAGGCCTCTCCGCATGGATAAGGGTTTCGGCTGCGTTAGTTACACAAACCAAAGTTGGACATCACAACTCAGATCCTAATGAACCATAGAAATACAGAAATCAATTCAACATCAACCAGAGACAGTTGTCACCTGCTCCAGCTCCTCCTCCGCGTACTTCTGTCGGCTCAGCTCGTTCTCAGTGCCTTCTCGCAGCTCTCGTAGACGGTGGGCCTCCTGCTTGGCTGTGCTGATCTCGTCTCTCAGTTTCTCTTCCAGATTCACCTTCTCCACTTCAACAGATCGATGTTCCTCCTGAGCCTTTAGCAGCCTGAAGGGAACATATGCAGTTTATCCTAAACTGCAGCTTAATCTGTCCATGTGTAACTCTTGCCCCCAGCTCCAGTTTAATCCCTCCATGTGTAACCTGCCCTGTCCAGTGGGTGGTCGGGCTGTCAGGACATCTGCCCCCACTCTCTTGGAACTCCCTCCTGGAATCCCTGCAGCTCGCCCCTTCAATGTTCACCTCAAGGCCTTCAGCCATCTTCCTCCCCCTCCCCTTGGACCCACCCGCTCCTCCTGGCCCCACGCCTTCCTAGGCCGCCCAGTAACTTGTGACATCCTCCCGACATGAAGGGGTATGTAGGGTGTCCATTGGCTGTATCAATTTGTTGCTGAGTAACGCGTCCACATGTAACATGCTCTGGCCATCGTGTGATTAGTGTGTTCACACGTAACTTGATCTGGCCAGCATTTGATTAGCCTGTCCACGTGTAACATGATTTGGCCAGCGTGTGATTAGCGTGTCCACGTGTAACATGATCTGGCCAGCGTGTGATTAGCGTGTCCACGTGTAACATGATCTGGCCAGCGTGATTAGCTTGCTGCAGTCTCAAGCTGTGAGGAAGGCCTCTCACACGCACCCAACAACGCGCCATCTCAAGGTGAGGCGAGGAGAGTGTGAGTTAGCAGATAACTTACGGGGATGTACAATGACAGATCAGATTGTGTACGACACAGAGAAAGCAAACCACTGCACAACGACCTGTCTGCACGTCCCTCATGCCCTCTGTTCCATTGGTGGCTACACTTTCAGCCGCTATTTCCCAAAACCCTGGAACACTCTTCCTCTATTCCTCCGCATTTCCCCTTCCTTCCCCATCTTCAGGTCGCGCCTTTCTCTTTGACCGAGCCTTCAGCTCCCCTCTCGACTCTCTTCCCCCTCCTCGCTCCCTCCCTTCCCTCCCCTCACCCTGACCATTTCCCCCCTCCTCGCTCCCTCCCTTCCCTCCCCTCACCCTGACCATTTCCCCCCTCCTCGCTCCCTCCCTTCCCTCCCCTCACCCTGACCATTTCCCCCACTGCTCGGGTCCTGACCCAACTGTGCAGCGCCTTGGGACGTCCTCCTGACGTGAAAGGCGCTTTATAAATGGAATCTTGTTGTTGTTGTTGTTGAAGACCTTCCTTTTTGACGGTCACCTCCCACTCCCCCCGGCTCAGTGCTCTGCCACTGACGAGCGCTCTGGGACGCTAGCTTGTGTGAGGGGTGCTGTGTAAATGCAAGTGGTTGTTGTCTGAAGGCTGAACATTCTCACCTCTCCTGGAGGTCGTGTAGGCTCTGCTCTGCCTTCTGCAGCCCTTCCAGGTCCTTCATCATTTTCTTCATATGCTCCTTGGAGTAGCGGTTCTGGATGTATGCAAACCAGCATCCGCCCACCCCAATCACGATGGACACCACCAGCATAAAGTCCTTCAAGTGGTTGTGTCGCGTCACTGCAACCAGACACACATCAGGCAGCAGTGAGTGAGTGTGTGTGTGTCCACTTGTTGAGTGGGTCAGGGTTTGCTATGTGTGGGGGTGTTTCAGTGTGTGTGTGGAGGGGGGTTGGGGGATAGGGGGCAGGTTGTGTTTGTGGGGGTGTGTCAGGATTTGCGTGTGTGAGGGGGCTGTCAGGGTGAGTGTGCATGGGGGTGTTATCAGGGTGTGCGCGTGTGAAGGGGGGGGTCATATTGTGCACGGGTGGTGCCAGGTTGTGTGCGCATGGTGGTGAGGGTGTCAGGATGTGCGCGCATGGGGGTGGGTGTCAGAGTTTGCGCGTGTGGTGGGTGGTGTCAGGGTGTGCACGTGCGAGGAGAGCAGTGCCAGTGGTGTGCGCGTGTGTTGGGAGGGTGTCGGGGTGTGCGTGTGCGATGGGGAAGTGTCAGGGTGTTCGCGTGTGGTGGGGAGGGGTGTCAGGGTGTGCACGCGTGGGGGTGTGTGTCAGTGTGGGTGCGCATGGTTGGGGGGTATCAGGATTTGCGCGCGTGGGTGGGGTGGTGTCAGGATGTGTGCGCGTGGGGTGGGTGTCAGGGTGTGCGCATGCGATGGGAGGATGTCAGGGTGTGCGGGTGTATAAGGGTGCGTGCGTATGGGGTGGGGTGTCAGGGTTTGCGTGTGTAGGGTAGTGGTCAGGGCGGCCCATGTGTGGGGATTAGGGTATGCGCGCGTGGGGTTGCGGTGTCAGTGTGTGCTGGGGGGGAATGTCAGGCTGTGCACGTGTGGTGTGGGGGGTGTCAGGGTGTGCGCGAGTTGTGGCGGGGGAGTCAGGGTGTATCTGTGTGGTGTGGAAGGGTGGTCAGGGTGCGCGCACGAGGAACATGATCAGGATGTGTGCGGATTGGGAGATTGTCAGTGTGCGTGGCGGGAGATGTGTCAGGGTGTGCACGTTGGGGGTTTCAGGGTGTGCGTGTGTGGTGGGGGGTGTCAGGGTGTGCACGTAGTGGGGCCGTCAGGGTGTGTGAGTGTAGTAGGAGGTGTGTGAGGGTGTGCTCGTATCGGTGTGTTGTCAGGCGTGTGCATGTGGAGCGGGGTATCAGCGTGTGTGCGTGTGATGGCAGCGCCTTGGGACGTCCTCCCGACGTGAAAGGCGCTCAATAAATGGAATCTTGTTGTTGTTGTTGTTGTTGTGTCAGAGTTTGCGAGTATGGTGGAGGTGTGTAAGGGTCTGCGCGTATGGGTGGGGCGTCAGTGTGTGTGCGTGTGGGGGTGGGGGGGCCAGTGCCAGTGGTGTGCGCAGGTAGTGGGAAGGTTCAGGGTGTGCGTGTGTGGTGGGGGTTATGTCAGGGTGTACTCATGTGGTGGGGCGTGTTGGTGTGCGTGCGTAACGGCGCGGTCAGGATGTGCGTGTGTGTTGGGCAGATGTCAGGCTGTGCACGTGTGATGATGGTGTTGTCAGGGTGGGCGCACACGCGCGCGGGGGTGTTGTCAGGGTGGGCGCACGCGCGCGGGGGTGTTGTCAGGGTGGGCGCACGCGCGCGGGGGGTGTTGTCAGGGTGGGCGCACACGCGCGCGGGGGGTGTTGTCAGGGTGGGCGCACGCGCGCGGGGGGTGTTGTCAGGGTGGGCGCACGCGTGGGGGTGGGTGTTGTGTTAGGGTGTGCGCGCATGGGGTGGTTTGGGCTGTCAGGGTGTGCGCGGGTGGGGGATGTGTGTCAGGGTGTGTGCGCGTGGGGGTCGGTGTGTCAGGGTGGCGTGCGTGGGGGCTGTCAGGATGTGCGCACATGGGGGGGCGGGGGGGGCGGGGGTGTCAGGGTGAGCGCATGGGGGGGTGGGGGTGTCAGGGTGAGCGCACGTGGGGGGGGGTCAGGGTGTGCGCGGATTAGGGGGGGTGTCAGTGTGTGCACGTGTGGGGTGTGTGCGTGCACGTGTGAGTGTGGGTGGGGTGCGGGGAGTGGTGTCATGGTGTTTGCGTGTGGGGTTGTCAGGTTGTGCAGGTGTAAGGGGGTGTCACGCTGTGTGTGTGGGTTAGGGTGTCAGTGTGTGTGTGGGTGGGTGGGGGTGTCACGCTGTGTGTGTGGGGGAGGGTGTCAGAGAGGAGAAGCGGATAGGCCAAGTGGAGACTGGGAGATGAGAGACACACGGCCTCCACGATGGTTATGGGGTATGGCGGAAGGTGGAGCCGTGTGGTGTGGCCTCGGTCAAGGGGAAGGTCATCATTTGGCCTCACCATCAAACATGGGTGAGTCGGGTTTCGGTGAGGGCGAGGATGTCGATGTTATCGTTGACAATGTGACCTTGGATGGTGAGTGTTTTGCTGAAGAGGGAGCGGACATTTTGTCGATATGGAGGGGTTAGTTGGTGGTGGAGTAATGGTTGCAACAGGGGTGGAGGGAGAAGGGGTGGATTGACAGGGAGTGTGGAGCTGTGGATAAGGTGGGAGAGAGTGGCCGCCAGGGTCAGGGACCAATGGCTTTATGCTGGAGGTGGGGTGGGGCAGTCAGAGTGGCTGCTGTTGGACAGCCAGTGGCGTTCTGCCTTGGTGGGCATGATGGAGGATTCGCAGGCAGGAGCAGAGGGAAGTTGTGGGAGGGATAGGAGGTGGGGAGGGTTGGAAGAGAAGGGTTGAGCAGGGGAGTGGAGGGTAGGGGACAAGAGTGGTTTGGTGGCGGCAGTGTAAGTGCGCACGGTCAGCCCGCTGGCGTGGGTCATGAGGAAGGAGTGTATGACAGTCATAATCATAGAGTGATTACAGGATAGTCACTGAGAGTGTGACTTACACAGAGGCGGCCCGAACAGTACGGTGTCCAGGGCCTTGAGGTGCAGCTTCTGGCGATGACTGCGGTCGTTTACTTTCAGCAGTGAGCACGCCAAAGTGATGTTATTCACAGCCAATCTGGAGAATCAATTCAGAGTTAACATCTCGATAACATATTACCACGTCTGAACCCCTCTCCACTCCAACCCCCATCGCAGGAGCAAACCCTTCACTGTCCAGTGCCTTGGGATGTCCTACCAACGTGAAAGGCTCTGTGTGAATGTCATTTGTTATTCTTGTTCAAGAAATGATGTACAGGGAAGGGGGGCAGTCACTGACCTGGGCATGTCGCATGGTGCGGGGGCAGTCACCGATCTGGACGTTACATGTGTGGGAAGGGGGTGGGGGGGGCAGTCACTGACCTGGGCATATCATGGCCACTGATGTGCAGCTTTCGGAAATGCTCCTCGTACTGCGGGAGCTCCACATAGGCGATAAGCCACTCGATCACCTCTTCTCCTGTCCAGTTATACACTGTCAGAGACAAGGAAGGCAAAGTCTGCTTAGTTATTCACACTGATTCCAGCAGCTCTGTCAGCACCAAACACTGCGGAATAGCAACATAGGAACAGGAGGGGCCATTCAGCCTTTGAGCCTGTTCTGCCATTTTATAAGAACTGTACCTCAACTCCAATTACCCGCCCTTGTCCAATATTCCTTGATACCCTGCCCTAACACAAATCTATCCACGCACATGGGAGCTCTCGCCTAACACCTGGCCCCACAGGCTCCACAGACAGACAGTTTCAGCATGAAGGGAGGCCATTCAGCCCACCGTGCCTGGGTACTGCCAGCTGTTTTCTAACTGGCCTTTTGTTATTAAACCCTGTCTCACATCACTTTACTGCACATTTACTGCTCAAGATCACCAGACCTAAGATTAATTTGGATGAAGAAGGCACTTAAGCCCATCTGATCTCAACCCTCCAAAACATACACCCAAACATTCCCCCATCACAGCAGAAACTATTTTTTCAATGATTTCAATGTCTCAAACACCCTTCCTGGCAACATGTTCAATGTTGAACCTCTGCATAATTAAAAGCTCCCATTAACTGCTACTTGTTAATCTCCTCACCTCCACTCATACACACTGTATGACAGTCACAGTGAGAGGTGTGTGTGGGTAACAGTCGCAGTGAGCAGTGTGTGTGTGTTATAGTCACGGTGAGCAGTGTTTGTGTTACAGTCGCAGTGAGCAGTGTGTTTGTGTGTTATAGTCGCAGTGAGTGTGTGTTACAGTCGCAGTGAGCAGTGTGTGTGTGTTATAGTCGCAGTGAGCAGTGTGTGTGTTACAGTCACAGTGAGCAGTGTGTGCGTGTTATAGTCGCAGTGAACAGTGTGTGTGTGTGTTACAGTCGCAGTGAGCAGTGTGTGTGTTATAGTCACAGTGAGCAGTGTTTGTGTTAGTCGCAGTGAGCAGTGTGTGTGTGTGTTATAGTCGCAGTGAGCAGTGTGTGTGTGTTATAGTCGCAGTGAGCAGTGTGTGTGTGTTACAGTCGCAGTGAGCAGTGTGTATGTGTTATAGTCGCAGTGAGCAGTGTGTGTTATAGTCGCAGTGAGCAGTGTGTTTGTGTGTTATAGTCGCAGCGAGTGTGTGTTACAGTCGCAGTGAGCAGTGTGTGTGTGTGTTATAGTCGCAGTGAGCAGTGTGTGTGTTACAGTCGCAGTGAGCAGTGTGTGCGTGTTATAGTCGCAGTGAACAGTGTGTGTGTGTGTTACAGTCGCAGTGAGCAGTGTGTGTTATAGTCGCAGTGAGTATGTGTATGACAGTCGCAGTGAACAGTGTGTGTGTGTGTGTGTTATGGTCGCAGTGAGTGCATGTGTTAATAGTCGCAGTGAGCAGTGTGTGTGTTACAGTCGCAGTGAGCAGTGTGTGTGTGTTATAGTCGCAGTGAGCAGTGTGTGTGTGTGTTAGTCGTAGTGAGCAGTGTGTGTGTTATAGTCGCAGTGAGCAGTGTGTGTTAGTCGCAGTGAGCAGTGTGTGTGTGTGTTATAGTCGCAGTGAGCAGTGTGTGTGTGTTATAGTCGCAGTGAGCAGTGTGTGTGTGTGTGTGTTACAGTCGCAGTGAGCAGTGTGTGTGTGTGTTATAGTCGCAGTGAGCAGTTGTTTTATAGTCACAGTGAGCAATGTGTGTGTGTGTTCTAGTCGCAGTGAGCAGTGTGTGTGTGTTACAGTCGCAGTGAGCAGTGTGTGTGTGTTATGGTCGCAGTGAGCAGTGTGTTATGGTCGGAGTGAGCAGTGTGTGTGTGTATGACAGTCGCAGTGAGCAGTGTGTGTTGTAGTCGCAGTGAGCAGTGTGTGTGTTACAGTCGCAGTGAGCAATGTGTGTGTGTGTTATAGTCGCAGTGAGCGTGTGTATTACAGTCGCAGTGAGCAGTGTGTGTGTGTTACAGTCGCAGTGAGCAGTGTGTGTGTGTTACAGTCGCGGTGAGCAGTGTGTATGAGTCTCAGTGAGCAGTGTGTGTGTGTTACAGTCGCAGTGAGTTACAGTCGCAGTGAGCAGTGTGTATGACAGTCGCAGTGAGCAGTGTGTGTGTTACAGTCGCAGTGAGCAGTGTGTGTGTGTGTGTTACAGTCGCAGTGAGCAGTGTGTGTGTGTGTGTTATAGTCGCAGTGAGCAGTGTGTGTGTGTGTGTGTGTTATAGTCGCAGTGAGCAGTGTGTGTGTTACAGTCGCAGTGAGTGTGTGTGTTATAGTCGCAGTGACCAGTGCGTGTATGTGTTACAGTCGCAGTGAGCAGTGTGTGTGTGTGTGTGTGTTACAGTCTGGCTCCCTCCACTTGGCAAGCCCTAGCCTCTGGGACCCTACTCCGTGTGAAGGGTGCTACATAAATGCCTATCAGTCCCCACTCTTTGGAAGTCCATCTCGGAGCCTGTCGCCACACCACCTCCCTCACCTCTTTTTAAGGTTGTCTCTTTGACTGCACCCTCAGTCCTCCTCCCCCATCCTAATTGAATCCCAGCTTGAGTGCAAACCCTCAACCACCCAGCACCTTGGGATGACCCCTGACGTGATATATAAATACATGTTGTTGTTATACCCACACAAGCCTCAGTCATGTACAGGATGTGTGTTGGATTGGCTCAGTGTAGGCTCACTTTACCTTCGGAGGCTTTCCATGATTTCCACAGGTCCTCCACACTGATCAGCTTGTCGCCGGCGTGGAAGGTGCTGTGCTTGGCCGCAGCGTCCTGGTAATTCAGGTCTTCCCGCAAAAACTACAAGCAATTAACAAGGAGTATCCATCAGTGAGGAGGCTAGCCTAGTGGGGCTCAGTCAGAATAGGAATAGTCAAGTTCCCCTCTACATCTTACTGATTGGGAGCAAATAGGCAGTTAATACAATACAACTGACAATCAACAACAAATTATATTTGTATCGCATCTTTCACGTCAGGAGGACATCCCTAGGTACTGGACAGTCAGGCACCCGAGCTGGTGTTGGGATCAGGAGGGGTGGAGGGCAGGTAGTGGAAGGAGGGTGACCAAAGAACGGGCAAAGAGGAGGATCTTGAAACAGGTCTTGAAGGAGGCAAGGCAGAGGGACTTGGAATGGCGTCCCAGAGGATGGGGGCCGAGTGGCTGAAGGTCCGCCTGCTAATGTGACATGTCCAGGGGACATGAAGGTGGCCAGAGCCCGGTGGGTGGACAGCTTGGTAGTGGGTTAGGAAGTCACAGAGGTAGGGAGGAGCAAGGCTGTGGAAGGCTTTGAAGGTGAGTACGAGGATCTTGAACTGTATGCTCTGTGTGATGGGAAGCCAGTGGATTCGGGCGAGGACTGGGGTGATGGGGTCATGGAGCTTGGTCCGGGAGAGGACTCGGACTGCAGAGTTTTGATGATCTGTAGCCTATGGAGAAAGGAGTTGGAGAAGTCGATAAGGAGGGCGTTTTCTTAGTCGAGTCTGTATGTGATGAATGCGTGGAAGGGTGAAGCTGTCAGCACCCGAGGTACGGAGTCGCTGACGGAAGCCAAAGCAGGGGGACCTCGGTCTTATTGACATTCAACTGGAGGAAGTTTGCTCCCATCCAGGACTTGATGTCTGACAGGCGGTCTGTGTGGACAGCAATGGTCCTCCAGTCGAGGGTGAAGGTGGAGAGATAGAGCTGGGTGTCATCCGCATACATGTGGAAGTTGACTCCATGATGCCACCAAGAGGGAGCACGTTAATGTTGAAGAGGAGGGGACCAAGGACAGAGCCCTGAAGGACACTACACATGATGGTGCAAGGGTTGGATGAGAAGCCATTAGTGGAGACAAAGTGGAGATGGTGGTAGAAGCAGGATCTGAATCAGACAAGGACAGGTTTGTGAAGGTTGAGCTGAGAGGAGAGGTGGTGGAGGAGGATAGAATGGTCAACAGTGTCGAAGGCAGCAGAGAGTTTGAGGAAGATAAGGAGGCAGAGAGCCCTGGTCACAGATAGACAGAATGTCACAAGTGATTTTGACCGGGGATGTTTTGGTGCTGTGGGCAGCAGGGAAACCCGACTGGAGGGGTTCATATATCAGAAATATAAAGCACAGAAGGTTGCTATTGGGCCCATCGAGTCTGCACCGGCTCTCAGGGAGTGGGGAGCGGAAAGATGATCAAAAACATGGTTAAAAGACGGTTGAGGTGGGCTTTGAATGTGGCGATGTGGGGAATCGGATGGACACCAGGAAGGAGTTCCAGAGAGCGAGGGCAAAATGGCCGAAAGCTCACTCGGTCACCAATGATGGGGCAAACAGTGTGGGATACACGACCAGGCAGTGTTTGCTGAGTGAAACGAGTGACTGTGTCGGTAGGGTCACAGGAAGTCACAGAAGTATGTTCTTGAATTCGATCTGGGGATAAGGAACCAATGGAGCCAAGTGAGGATGAGAGTTATAGTGGAGTCCTGTAACACAGTGGTTAGAGCACTCGCCTCGCAAGTGGGAGGACTTGGGTTTGATGCTGGGGCAGGTAAACCTTAGCCAAGTTTCCTTACTCCTTCTATTTACCTAGCAGTAAGCAGGAACCCGGTTGTTAGTTGATTGGCGGATCACTTTTCCGGGAATAATAATCCCTTCAAAAAAAGAAAAATTAATGATTCGGTCCCTCAATCCACAACTGTTTGTGGGACGCTGCTGTGTACTGCCGCGTTTCGCCCACAAAATATACAGTTAATTCACTTTACAGTATATTCTGTGAAGCGCTTTGAGAACGTTTCGAAGAAGTGACAAGGCACTCTATTAAATGCAAGGATTATTAATATTATTACTATTTTAGGTTTCCAGAGCTGGGGATGATCTGCAGTTTCTGTAGGAAACAGCTGTAGAGTCTGCCTTGGTGTAGTCCAGCCTAGACGTGATCAAAGCATGAATGAGGCTGCCATTGAGGGAGCCTAGGGCAGGGACAGAGGTGGGCAATGTTACGGAATGAGATAAAGCTGAGTGAGTAAGTAAATTAATAATTATCCTTGCATTTGAAACACTGAAATGTCTCAAAATGTTTCACAGGGAACTGCTGTTGAATATGTTTGTTGAAGGCAAACACAATTTGCACATAGCAAGATACCACAGACATGAGGTGAATCAGCAAGCTATCTGGAAGACTGTTGACCAGGACAGAGGGAAAAACAAATTATACATCTTACAGCACATAAGGAAGCCATTCAGCCCATCGTGCTCTTTGAAAGAGCTGCCAAGCTACCAATTAGTCCCATTCCCCCGCTCTTACCCCATAGCCCTGCACATTTTTTGTTTTTACCTATCAATTCCCTTTTGAAAGCTATTATCGAATCTGTTTCCACCATCCTTTCAGACTGTGCATTCCAGATCATAACAACTCTCTGGGTAAAAATATGTCCCCTCAGCTCTTTTGCCAATTATCTTAAATCTGTGTCCTCTTGAATTATACAATCTTATGGCACAGAAGTAGGCACACAGCAAGATTCAGCCTATTGTGACCGACCCATCCGCCACAGGAAACAGTTTCTCCCTATCTACTCTCGGACTCCAGATAATACCTTCCAGCAGCTGACCCAACAAGCCTCAGAGTTTCCTCATCAGCTATCTGACGGGCATCAGCGTGGGGGGAGAACATTTACAGGACATGTTGTGACTTTTTCTGTTGAAAAGGTTGAGGGGTGGACTAATAAAAGTCTTTAAAATGTTGATCAGTTTTACAATACAAAAATACAATATAAAATTATATTTACACAGCGCTTTTCATGTCGGGAGGACGTCCCAAGGTACTGGACAGTTGGGGATATGGACATGAGCTGGGGGTTGGGATCAAAAGGTGTGGAGGGCAGGAAGGGTGGGGGTAGTTGGATGGCCAAAGGTGGGTACGAAGAGGAGGGTCTTGAGATGTGACTTAAAGGAGGCACGGGAGGGAACAAGACAAAGGGACTGTGGCATAGACTTCCAAAGGGTGCGGGATGAGAGGCTGAAGGCCTGACAGCCGATGGTGGGACAGGCAGGGTGGGGGCTGTGAAGCAGGCTGCTGAGCGGAAGGCTTGATATGGGGTCAGCAGAGGTAGGAAAGGGCAAGGCTTTGGAAGGTTTTGAAGGTGAGGACGAGAATTTTGAACTCTATTCTCTGGGGGATGGGGAACCAAACTTTGATAGTCAATAAGGACAATCATGTCCACTGGTCAGTAACTGGAGTGCATCAATGTAAGATGGTTAGTAAATGAGCAAATGGGGAAGTCACAAAACATTTTGACACAGAGTTAGGATATGGGATGCGCGGCTGGGAGCAGTGACTGAGGCAGAATCCACATTAGCTTTCAAAAGCGAACTAGATAATATCTAAATAGAATTAGCAACATGGGGAAAGGGCAGGAAAGTGGGACTAAAAGGATGGTTTTTAAAGCAGGTACAGACATGATGGTCTGAATGGCTATAAATTTTAGTGGATATTTCTATGCTATAAATTTCTATGGTTCTTTTGCTTTAAATCTCACATCCTGAAGGGCCAAATTCAGCTCAGCTCTGATCTCCTTGTATTTGGAAAGTCTTAAACTAACCCGGGCGGGACACCAGGTTCTCAGGGAAGTGCTGCGTTACACTGACCTCATCGCTCTCCTCCACATCAACATTGCCATTTGCATCATCGTCCATCTGTTCATGAATACTCATGATGGCCTCAAAGCGAAGCACTTCTGCCTCATTGTGACACGAGGCTTCATCAATCCTGCAGAAATCTGCACAAAAAAAGCTCAATTCAGTCACAGGTTCAAAGCACTGTTTATTTGGTTCATCACCATTTCTGAAGCACTCTGGTTTACGACCCATGAAGGGAGTGGAGTTCTGCAAGTTTCCTTACTTCACAAGCCTCTGTTTACCTAGCAGTAAGTAGGAACCCAGTTGTCATCAAATGCAAGGATTATTATAAACAGAAGCCACAATCCTGTCAGAGAGGCCAGAAACAGATACACCAAGTTTTTCCCCCTCTATGCCATCCAACATGTCGTTGATGAACAGGGTGGGTGACAAAAATGAAAGGATTTTATTTTATTTATATATAAAATGATATTTTATTACTTTTCTTTATTGCTATAATACTTTTTTATTGCTGAAAAAAATCCACGACTGTTTGTGGGACACTGCTGTGCGCAACTGGCTGACGCGTTTCGCCCACAAAACTGCACTTTACAGTATATTCTGTGAAGCGCTTTGAGTCATCTCACCGACGTAATAAGGCGTTATATCAAATGCAAGGATTATTATTATTTTAAACTATAGGAACTGCACAGTGTGACTGTCAGCGGGACATTGCCAGAGCCTCGTATTTTTCAAAAAATAATCTACCAGGAACCCGCTAGCCCGGAAATGGGGGTAAGGAAACTTTTTGTCCTGATCTGCCCGGGAATCAAACGCGGGTCCTCTCGCTGCGAGGTAAGTGCTCTAACCACTGAGCTACAGGACTCCGTAGCATAACAAATGAGTTGCTGCAGCTTCCTGCAAACTTTAAATTATGCAATTGTTTGTTCCGGTTCCCACACCATCTATATAGTAGTACAGAAAGATATCTGCTTCTTTGTCAATCACCCCCAACGTCCCCTTCCAAAACACTGTTGAGGAAAATATCGACATCCTCGCCCTCACCGAAACCTGGGTCACCCCAGGCCACACCTTCCCACTAGTCAAGACCACATCTCCAGGTTACACCTTTCACCAAACCCCACGGCCTAATCGCCGTGGCGATGGTGTGGCTCTCATCTCACAGTCCCCCCTCGGCCTTTCCCCTTATTCCTCCGGAACCTTCCCCTCCTTTGAACACCACCCCTTCAGGCTTTCCTTCAAAATCCTCCTTGTTTACCGTCCCCCCAAGCCTTCCCCCACCTTCCTCTCGGACATCTCCACCCTCCTATCTTCCCTCTCCCTCTGCTCTGAACGCCTCCCAATCTTAGGCGGCTTCAACCTCCACTTCACCCCTTTCTGCTCTACCTCTGCCGACTTCTCCTCCCTCCTCTCTTCCCTTAACCTCTCCCTCCTCATCCACTCCCCCTTGACCTGGTGATCACCGTGGCCACCCCCTTGACCTGGTGATCACCAGGGCCTTACGGTCTTGGACATCACCATCATTAATAAAATCATCTCGGACTACCACTTCATCTCCCTCAACACCTCAGTACCCCTTCCCCATCCCTCCACCATCACATACCGACACTGGAAAAAAATTTCCTCCCTCTCCCTCTCCACTGCCCTGGAGTCATCTGAACTCCTACACCTCTGGCCCTCACTGACCGATCTCCCCTCTTCAGTCTCTTTTCTCCACAACTCCCTCTCCTCCATTCTGGACTCCCTTGCCCCCCCCCTCACCTCCCGAACTGCCTCATACTCCCGTAAAACCCCCCGGTACACCAGCCATCTCCGTTCCCTCAAGGCACAAGTGCGAGCTGCCGAACGCGCCTGGACCAAAGCCAAACTAATGGTCCATCGGCAGATTTGGCTTCACCATACCAAGACCTACTGCTGCGCTCTTGCTTCCACTAAATCCTCCTTCTACTCCAAGGTTATCTTGGAGGCAAAGGACAATCCCAGGCTTCTCTTTTCCACCACAAACTATCTCCTCCATCCACCTTCCCATACCTCGCCCATCCACTCCTCAAATTCCAACTGTGAGGAGATGCTGGACTTCCTCGAATCTAAAATCGAGGGGATACGTTCAGCCACCTCAGCCCCGTCCACAGCCACCCCCACATCACCTCTCCCTCATGACCGACCTCCCCCCCCTATACTTCTTTGACCCTATCTCTCCCTCCTCCCTCACAACAGTCCGCAAACTCAAACCCACCACCTGCTCCCTCAATCCCATCCCCACCTCTCTCATCTCCCAGCTCCACCTTCTGGCCCTCTCCTGTCCAACATCATCAACCTCTCCTTGTTCACCGGTTCAGTTCCCACCCCCTAAAAACAGCCGTCATCACCCCCATCCTGAAAAATCCTTCCCTGGACCCATCCCTCCTCTCCAGCTCCCGCCCCATCTCTAACCTCCCATTCCTCTCCAAGGTCCAGGAACGAGTACTCGCGTCCCAGCTCCGCTCCCTTCTCTCTCACCATTCCCTCTTTGAACCCTCCAATCCGGCTTCTGCGCTGCCCACAGCACGGAAACAGCCCTGGGGGTCACAGTCACTAATGACATTCTGAACATCTGTGATCATCCCTCTGCCTCCTTGTCCTCCTCGACCTCTCTGCCGCCTTCGACACTGTCGACCACTCCATCCTCATACACCGCCTCTCCGCTTTACTCAACCTTCGCGGACCTGCCCTCGCCTGGTTCGATTCCTATCTCTCTCACCGTCTCCACTTTGTTGCCTCTAACGGTTTCTCCTCCAGCCCCCGCACTGTCACGTCTGGCGTCCCCCAGGGCTCTGTCCTTGTCTCCTCTTTAATATCTACATGCTCCCCCTCGGGGACATCATCCGCAGACATGGGGTCAACTTCCACATGTATGCGGATGACACCCAACTCTCTCTTTCTGCCCCACCCTCAGCCCCAGGACCACTGCTGTCCTGACAGACTGTCTGTCGGATATCAAGTCCTGGATGAGGGCAAATTTCCTACAGTTGAATGTGAACAAGACTGAGGCCCTCCTGATTGTCTCCCCCCAGCGCCTCCGCACCTCAGGCTCTGGCAACATCAACCTCCATGGTGTACACTACAACTCACCGCCAGTCAGGAACCGAGGTGTCTTGTTCGACCCTCAACTGTCTTTTCTCCCCCACATCCAAGCCATGACCCACTCTGCCTTCCCTCACCTCCGTAACATCGCCCGACTCCGCCACTACCTCACCCCTCAGGCGCTGAAACTCTTGTTCATGCCTTCATCACCTCCAGACTCGACTATGCAAACGCCCTGCGTGTCGGCCTTCCCAACGCCTCCCTCCACAGCTGCAGATAATCCAGAACTCTGCAGCCCGTGTCCTCTCCCGAACCAAACTCCGTGACCCCATCTCCCCCACTCTCGCCCGACTCCACTGGCTCCCTATCCTTCAGAGGATCCAGTTCAAGATCCTGGTCCTCACCTTCAAAGCCCTCCACGGCCTCCCCCCACCCTACCTCTGTGACCTCCTAACCCCCTACCAACCCGCCCGCTCCCTCCGCTCAGCCGACTCCGGCTGCTCCACATCCCCCGACCCACCCGCCCCACCATTGGCGGGAGAGCCTTCAGCCACTCTGCCCCCAACCTCTGGAATTCCATCCCCCAGTCACTCCGCCTCACCCTTTCCTCAGCCTCCTTCAAGTCCCGCCTCATAGACCCTCCTCTTCGACCATGCCATCGGCCACAACCATTCCCTTTCCCTCCCTTCTCCCCCCTGACCCCAGCTCGGGTCTGAAATGCTGTACTCTGTCCAGCGCCTTGGGACGTCCTCCCGATGTGAAAGCCGCTCTACAAATGTAATCTTGTTGTTGTTGTACGTGTCATGTAGCTCAGTGGTTAGAGCACTCGCCTTGCAAGTGAGAGATCTGGTTTCTATTCCGGGGTAAGGCAAAATGTCGGGCAAGTTTCCTTACTCCACATGTCTCTGTTTTCCAGCAGTAAGTAGGAACCCGGTTGTTAGTCGATTGGCGGATGGCTTTTCCGGGGATAATAATTCATAACGAACAATAATAATTTGGTCACTCAATCCACAACTGTTTATGGGACCCTGCTGTGTGCAATTTGCTGTCACGTTTTACCCACAAATATACTCAATTCACTTTACAGTATATTCTGTGAAGCACATTGAGACCTCTAGAAGACATGAAAAAGCGCTATAGCAAATTCGAGGATTATTACAAACCAGCTAAAGTGTGGAATTCCAAGGATTCAAATGCAAGGATTATAATTACTACTCACTGCCACAAGCGGCTATTGAGTCTGGATCAATAGAATCATTCAAAAGAAAAATGGATAAGCAACTGAGCAACAAAACAGTGAAAATACTGGGATATTGATTTTTTTGCTGGATTAGGTGTCTGACACCCATCACCCTGCTTAAGACTCTCCAAACTAAAATAAGAATTCCACACATCCCACCTACACATGGAAATCCCAGACCCAGATTGTTGGAATGGAATGTGCACTCTCTCCCTGGAAAGACGCATCCTGCTTACCTAATTCCGGAAAGTATCAGACTTGGAATACAGTTCTGGTCACCGCAATATAAGACGGATACTGCAGAGATTGAGAGGATACAGAGGAGGTCAACTGGAATGATTGAGGGGATGGAGGGACTGGACTATGAGGAGTGATTAGATAAACTGGTCAACTGGAGAAGAGAAGGTTGGCGTTGATTGTGTTCTTTAGATTTTGAAGAGACTATCATAATAATAATCCTTGCATTGATATAGAGTTTTTCACGTCTTCTAGATGTCTCAAAGCGCTTCACAGAATGTACTGTAAAGTGAAATGACTGTATATTTGTGGACGAAATGCAGCAGCCAATTGCACAAAGCAGTGTCCCACAAATAATGTAGACTATGATAAGCTGTTTTATCTTGTACTGAACAGTAGAACCAGAGGTCAGGGCCTGAGATTGAAGGGGGTAAATTCAGAACAAATCTGTGAAAACAATAATTCAGTGAGCGAGTAGAATTCATAGAATTGTGCAGCACAAAAAGAGGCCATTCGGCCCATCGAGTCTGTACCGGCTTTTTGAAAAGAGCAATGAAATGTCAATCCCACTCTCCGGCCCTTTCCCCATAACCTGCAAACC